ATGGATAGAGGGGGAGCAATGCAGAGAAGCCATTGAAGGTGGTTTGGTTGTGAATCGTGTGCTTCGTTGAATGTGAGATGACCTTATCTTTTGGTTCTGTTCTTGGATTTCCTATCCGTTGTGTTCGCGGGTTCGCTCAGCCACATTTCTCGCGTCGGCCCCTCACCCGTTTTTCTGCCTTTTTCTCTCTCTTCAATTTATACCTCTCCCAAAAAATGATAAGATTTTTTGAGTAAATACATAAAGCTGAATTAAAAAAAATAAAAAAACATATTCATATTCTTCCCAAAACCCTAATTTGACCTAATATTCTTACAATATTGTTTCAATGGGCATTCGATGGACGGCCAAAGATTGAATGAAATATTGACATGGGTTTCTTTCAAATCCTTTTTCGGTCTTTTTTCATTGAAATTGATCTTGTATACGCTAATTAGAGCATCCAAACAAACCAGTAGAGGCAGTTGTGGCAGAGACAACAGCAAAAACACTAGTCTCTGTTGGTCACCCTATTAGCAGGGAAGCAGCATAGGTGTAAGGGACTTACTAGGGTTTAGATACCAATTCGAAGAGCATTCGTTTACCTCTCCTTAAGGGTTGAGAGCTGCCAGTCCTAGAGGTACCACACTAACAACGACATTCCAACTTAATACGGATCCCTAACAGTTTTCTACGAGAGCTAATTGAAGGTTTTGATAGGTTAAACATGATTCAAAGTATTCAAAGTTTTGAATTTTGTAACAGAGTGAGAAAACAATAATAAAACATTTGTAGTTTCGATCTTTTATATCTTTTGTTATCTCTTTCAATATTCAAAAGAAAGGTATAACGACCCTCGTCTTCGTCTTCCCTCCTTAATTTTTATTCATCTCCTACGTTTTTTTAGTTCATTAGTTGGTTTCCGACCATATTGAATAATGATGTTTTCCAAATGACAAACCCTCAATACATTCAAACATCAAAAGATGCAATGAACTTTTAAAAAAAGATTGGAAAGGATGTGACTTATCAATCAAGACAAAGATTTTGATTCTACGAGAAATTATGATCCAAATGAGTAGCTAAGGTCGGAGATGAAGCAATAGTGCTCAAAGATTTTTTTTTTATTTATTTTTGGTTGAAAATGAACTATCAATGAACATATGAACTTAACACTGGAAGATATGAATAGTGGAGGGAAGGAGATGAATAATGATGAAAGAACGAAGAAGACGATGGAGCTGTTAGGATCGCTCAACAATGCACACATTCTATCAAAATGAACACAAAGAACAAGGGAGAAAAAACAAAGAGAAAATTTAAGGAGTAATATTGGTGTAAGTAATCGGGTGTATATAAAGATTTAAGCACCTATATATAATCTATCAATATCTTTCCCAAATATCTGCACGAGGCTACATCTCCATCTTTACTGTAAATAGACATGACGAGGCCCCATCTTTACTGTAAATAAACACGACGAGGCTCCATCTTTACTGTAAATAGACACGACGGGGCTCCATCCATATTCGTTGTAAATAGACAGGCTCCATCTTCACTGTAAATAGACAAGGCTCCATAAACATACAGGCTCCATGTTTAACTGTAAATAGGCATCAGACTCCGATTTTCATTTTGGAAATTATAAAGGGAGAATCGTAGTTCTTATCATAAGCTAGGCTAGACATGTTCTTAACTACGGCTTTAGCTATATCTTTGAGTAAACTTAACTCAATCTCCCTTCAAGTTCATGCACAATTGATACCCAAATCTTAAACCTTAACAACTCCGAACATCAACATGCCCATACCCTCAAAACCAAAGAATTCACGGTCGGTATACCACATTCAAACATCGAAAGATACAATGAACTTTTAAAAAAAAGATCGAAAGCATGTGACTTAAATCAAGACAAAGATTTTGAATCTACAGTTGATAAATTACGATCCAAATGAGTAACTAAGGTCGGAGATGAAGCAATAGTGCTCAAAGTTTTTTTTTTTTTTTTTTTTTTTTTTTTTTGGGTTGAAAATGAACTATCAATGAACATATGAACTTATCAAAGAGGACAAAGGTTTTGAATCTTCAAGAACTTTACAAGCAGTGGTGCTCAGAGACATGAATTATGCACGGGGAGCTAATGAGATGAATAGTGATGAAAGAACGAAGAAGACGTCAATTTACTAAATATAGCCAGAATTACATATAATTTATTCTATCAAATATTTACCAAATATGTATCATATATAGCAAATATATCTCTACCATATTTTAATGTAGATATGCATCAGGCTCTGCTCAGTATCGAGCTATGGGAGTGTTTGTGGTTACACGTTAATTTGGAAATTATAAAGGGAGGACAATTTTGGAATTTGAGTTGGAATACCAAATGCTAAAACAGAAGTTGAATCTCTCATGTTTAAGCATAGAGAGGTGAAAAAGGTGGTAAACAACCAAGTATTGAATGTGTTGCTTGTTTCTAAACCTACAAGAAATCTGGGTGTTTTGTTGTAATGGGTTTCTTTAAAGGAAACTTGGACGACCATTTCTTGGTTAGCAAAATGAATATGGTTAGAAAACCCTACCGGAGATATCAAGTGTCCAACACCTACAATATCGTCGGCCTGTCGGAGACTTCGACATGACAGCCTTGTCCTGTGTCGTGGTCTGTTCTCTAATATGTTTTTCTCTTTTTCCGATGTTGACAAGACTGTTTTTTTAATATGGGGACCCTTTTGTGCACGCCAAAGTTTATTTTATAAGCTTTTTTGGGGTTGCAATGAGAATTGTTATGCTATTTTATAAGCTTTCTGCACTGATTTCAGCTAGTTGGTCGATGAAACACCATCCTTAAAGCTATGCATTTAGCTCAAAGAAAGACTGGTTTGACAAATTTGAAAGTTCATTGCATATTTCAAACAGATTCTATACATGGCTTCTTCTTTAGTCTTGACCATTGTTTTGAACCCAAACCCTAATTTTTAATTCTAAGGTCAAATACAATGGTTAAGTTGTCGGATTTAGGGTATGCGATCTCACATTAGGTGAATAAATAAGGGAACAAAACATTTTTTATAACGGTGTCAAAACCTTTCTTTAGTAGACGTGTTTTAAGAACTTTGAGAAAAAGCTCAGAAGAGAAAACCCAAAGAGAACATTTTTGTTAACAATGGTCTTGGGTCGTTACAAATGGTATTAGAGCTAGTCACCGTCAGTGTACTAGCGAGGGCACTGACCCCTAAGGGAGGTGGGTTGTGAGATCCCTGATTGGATAGGGGAACGAAACATTTTTTAGAAGGGTGTGGAAATCTCTTTCTAGTAGACTAGTTTTAAAAACTTTAAGGGGAAGCCCGAAAGGGAAATCCCACAAAGAACAATATCTGCTAGTGATGGTCTTAGACTGTTACAAATGGTTTCAGAGTCAGACATCGGTTAGTGTACCAGCAAGGACATTGGCACCCAAGAGAGGTGGATTGTGAGATCCCACGTGAATTAGAGAGGGAAACGAAGCATTCTTTATAAAGATGTGGAAACCTTTCTCTAATAGACACGTTTTAAAATTGTGAGACTTACTGCGATATGTAACGAATCAAAGCAGACAATTTTTGCTAGCAGTAGACTTGAACGGATACATGTGCTAATATCAACTGTGCTTGTAGGTTATGCCAAGCTCTACAATGGAAGGCTTGCCGACAGCCTCATCACCCTCAACCTTGTTCTGTATGTGGAACTGCAAAGAGCTTGAAAATTCCAAGTCTACTACGTTTTCATTGTAAACTCCTTGAACGAACGATCACTAATGGCCTCATCTTCCTCGTCCCTGCCCTTATTTGAAGGACTAAACCCTGCAAGCATAAACTTTCTTGCTGCTCTCTATATGATTGTGATATCCCACATTGGTTGGGAGGAGAACTAAACACCCTTTAGAAACTTTTTCTTAGTAGACGCGTAATGAGGAAACCTATAAGGGAAAGCCCAAAAACCTTGAAGGAAACTGCAGAAGAAAAAGCTCGAAGAGTACAGTATCTAGATGAACATCGATTCCACTGTGTAACTCTAAAAGACTCGTTTTACCGTATCTAGATGGTGCGCACTTCTTTTGATCATTCTAGGATTTAAGAGAGAAGAGTGCACGAACACCCTCTTCAAACATGCAAATATTTCACCCGTCATCACGTCAATCAATAGTCCTTTCTTATTTTAATCAAACCCTTAAACGGTACAATTGAGTCGAGCTCAAACCCTTTACATATTTTGCAATGTCAACCGAGTTAGAGAAGGAAAACAAGAAATTCCCTAAAATCTAAGCCTACCATGAAAACGATCTTACCTATAAGTTTCCTTCTTCCTTACTTAAAGAATCTATAATCAAAACAAAACAGGTAATGGGATGTTGCTTATTTCAGTGTCCAATGCCTCGTGCAACATCGGGAAAGCTTTCTTGTCTTGTTGTTATTGCAATCAAAGCAATGAAGAAAGCTTCATATTGCTTGGGAAATCATCAACTTTTTCTGGGTAACTCAAAGGCGACTTTCTTTTCTGTCACGGGTCCATACTACCCCTATTTTAAAAATTAATATTGTAACTTTTTCTGGGATAAAAAAACAGTTATGTCTGAAATTTAAATGTCGTTTAGAAATGTTTATAAAATGTTAAAGGTTTAATATCGTTTGAAAGTATTTTTAAAATAGAGATTAACCCTTTTCATTAAAAACTTCAAATATATATATATTTTGGAATAAAATGCAAAATTGAAAGTTAATTGAAAATGTTTGATTAATCAATCGGAAATTATTTTATTTATAATTAAATAAATTATAAGGATATGAACTATATATGAAAAGATATTAGGATAAGAATGACAAATATCTAGATATTTACTAAAAATAAAATATCAAATATGATATATAAATAAATTATAATTTATTACTAAATATAGTAATAAACCCTAATAATAAATAAGATAGGGAATGATGCTGTCGAATAAATTATTTATTAAAAAAAAAAAAAACCGACCTAGATGCTGTCGAATCGTCCAGGTTTGCTTCCGACCTCTATTTATGGTGTTTTTTTGCAGTATAAATGAGATGAAATTGTTTGGATTCGATTGTGTCTTGCTTTGCCACTTGGTGGGAGGTTTCTCTATCTATTTTGTGGCTTTTAAGGAGAACCCAAGATCAGTGTTTTGCTGCAAAATGTTTTGAAAAAAGGTTGAATTTCTTCTTTATATTTGTTTTTGATTTCTGGGTTTTTTTATTTTTATTTTTAATTGAGATATGTAATCAGTAGCCTGTAGGGAGATTAATGATTTCGTTTTGAGGAACCTAGAAATCACGGGAAGACAAAGTCGAACATCACCAAATGCTCGATATGATACATCGGGGAAGCCTTTACTATATCCTCGTTGATCTCGAACACCAACTTATTCTCATCCTTGATACCTTTTTATGAACGACTTACAACTAAACTTTTCTGAGAAGAATGTGATGAATTGAAGTGAAAATCACTTATTCACCTTATCCTTCCTTGTCGTCGTAAGCTCGATTTGATACATTGGGAAACCTTCATTATGTCCTCGTCGATCTCGAACACCAACTTGTTCTCATCCCTGATACCCTTTTTCTGAATGACTTACCTCTAAACTTTTCTTAGAAGAATGTGATGAACGAAGTTGAGAAGCAGCTCATTATCAGACAATCAGTTATTCACAAACCTTGTGTGTGGCTAATAGCTATTCTATTTTTCTCCTGCTCTCACTACTGCCTAGTATCGTTGTTGCTCGTGTTTAGTCTATAAACGTTCTTGCTAGTGCTCTAGTTATATCTCTCAATTTTCTCTCTACTCTCGTTCTCAATTTGCAACTTACTATATTCAATCGGGTAAACTCAACTCAATCTTCCATCAAGTTCATGCACAATGGACACCAAACCCTAGACCTTAATAAAATCCAAACATCAACATTGCCCACACCCTCAAAACCAAAGACAACACATTCAAATATCCAAAGATATAGTCAAATTAAAAGGGTGTGATCTTATCAAGGAGGACAAAGATGTTGAATCTCGAAGTGATATGGACTTGAGAGATATAGTCAAATTCATAGTCCATACATGTTGAATCTCGAAGCGTTTCGATAAGTGGAGCAACTATGGTCCAATTGAGCAACCGGGTCCTAGATTTTATGATTGAAGATATGAACTATGAACGGTGAAGCGAAGGAGATGAATAATGATGAAAGAGCGAAGAAGACGATGACGACAACGACAACGCGTTTGCCGTTCGAGGACAATTCTGACATTTTGCAGGATGGCGAGTCAGAAATTGAACCTCATTCATTATTAACCTTAGAGAACTGAAAAAGCTGGTAAATAACCAAGTAATCATGTATAGAATCTCATGCTTTAATGTGTATCTTTTCTTCTTTAAACACGAGTATATTTAAAGGAAAGCATGGACGACCAACCAAATGAAGTTGGTTCCATGCTTTAAGTGTCCAAGAGGTATAATATCGATTGCCTGTCGAATGACTTCGACATTGCAGGCTTGTCTAGTGTCGTGGTCTGTTTTGTAGTATGTTTTTTTTTTTCTCTTTTTCCGATGTTGACAATACTGACTTTTGAGTTTGGGGACCGTTTAGTGCACTGCCAACCTGTATTTTACAAGGTTTTCAAGCTATTCTACTCACTTGTTCGACTGTTAGGAATCAAAATTCCTGTTGTTTTTTATGTAATTTTTGTTGTTTTGTGATTGTTTGATTCTGTTCGCATGTTTTTTTTTTTTAAGGTTCCAATGAGTATTCTTAGATACTCAAGAACATCAAGTTTATGATTTTCCTAGTTGTTTCTATGAGTTTCTGGGCATGATTTAAGCTAATTGGTTAATGACTGATTTGACAACTTTGAAAGTTCATTGCATAGTTCAACCAGACCCTAATTTTGTGTCTAAAAAGTTTAAAACTTTTGTGTTGTTCATTTGATTATCAGATGCAAAACCCTAATTTTAATCCTAAAATTAAAATACAATGGTCAAATTTCGAAACCCTAATTTTCTTTTCTCGAAAATAGTAGAATAATAATAATAATAATCATTTTTATTTAAAAAAATACAATTTTCGGAGAAAATAATTGATAGAGACCGTTTTTTTTTCCGGAAAAGTTAACGACAAAGTAGAGATGGTTTGATAATTTATTGAAAATATAGGGACTAAAATGATATTCCTTCGTAATTTCTTTATTCGAGTGAAAAGGGTATTATTAACTTTCTGCTTCTGAGATCCCTTTGTCTTCTCCATTGATATGCATATTGTGAATAAGAACAAGTGGGCTGTGAGTATTATGAGTTGATATCATCTTTACCTTCATTTTTAGTTTCTGATGGTCTATGAACAATTGTAAATTTAGTTACTGACAGTCTTAGCAGGACGTGCGGATGGCAGCTGCGCTTCTGCATCGTCTTGCTGGTGTTTCTAAGGGGTTATGCTAAGTGTTACCATCGCACTTTTCTTGACAACAGATTTAGCGTTTGTGCGGTATTCACTTTCAACACTGAGCGAGTCAAGCTAACTTAGAATTGCATCGCTACGATTCTCAAGCCTTTGACCTCTACGTGAGAATAAGATTTTAGAAAATGGGTCAGAGAGGTTTTGAAAAAGAGTTTGAAAACAAGGTTGAGAGACATTGAAAACCATGTTATGACTACAAGAAAAAAAAAAGGCAACACAATGACTTAAATAACATATAACTTTCTGGTTAGTGAGAATTTGACAACTAGTCGTATCTCTTTAGAGTACATTTTGAGGCGATTTACGTCTAACAAGCCTAAATGTTAGTACATTTTGGAGCATTTCATGTTTACCAAGCATAGGCATGATTCTGCTGAAACGTCGTACACTTAGAAAATACAAGAAAGAAATTATACAACATGAAAGCAGTAAAAGAAAGCAAGACAGAAGTTTTGGCATGTAATGGGAATGCAATCATAAACAACACGCCTTGAACAAGCATAACCGTGACACCAAGCTCAACAATGGAGGCTTGCGGATAGCCTCATCACCCACAAGCTTGAAAAGTTCCAAAAGTCTAGTAAGGGGTTTGAGTGAGTTCATCATCTTACACTTCCGTCATTTGGAAAGATCAAATGGCATCCATGTCAGCTAGTAAAGGTCAGTGCGGGGCGATGTGGCAGGGATAACAACGAATCGGAACATGCCACGAAACGTTGAGTAGTCATTCTTGTTCTTTGGAAGGATTTGGAAACAGTGATGAGAGTAGGCAAAGGACTGGTTTTGGCTGCCCTGTTGAAGTATGACACCTAGTTACTGGAGGCAACTCCCTTGTCTTCTTGGAGGATTCCTCTTTAGGGTTTGGACCCCACACACGTGGGTTCAATACAAAGAAACTCTCCTTCACGAATCTCCTCTAATCCCTTCGCAACCAATGATCCTTAATCCCTCACGTGGGACTCCTGGCCCCACCTCCCTCTTCCCTGCCCTTATTTAAGGACCTCACCCTTCAAAACCAGATCACTTACAAGCATCAACTCATGGCAGATTCTTCTTCTGCTTCATACATACATATGGTACTTCCTTCTTTTCATTATACCACCTAAATCCGCTCTATTTGCATCACTGATACTCGCTCCTTCGATGCAGGTGCAACACTTGATCGAGAAGTGTTTAATCTTTCGCATGACCAAAGAAGAGTGTATGGACGCTCTCTCCAAACATGCGAATATTTCACCCGTCATCACGTCAACAGGTAGTAGTAGTAGTCTTTCATTGTTTTAATCAAACCCTTGAACCGTATGATTGAGTCAAGCTCAAACTGTGATGTCCCACATTGGTTGGGGAGGAGAACAAAACTCTCTTTATAAGAGTGTGGAAATCTTCCCTTAGTAGACGTGTTTTAAAGTCTTGAGGGGAAACCCAAAAGGAAAAGCCTAAAAAGGACAATATCTCCTAGCGGTGGGTCCGAAGGATGCTGGGTCTCAAAAGAGGTGGATTTTTTTTGGGGGGGGGGGGGTCCCACATCGATTGGAGAAAGGAATGAGTGCTAGGGATGTCCCACGTTGGTTGGAGAGAAGAACAAAACATTTTTTTATAAGGGTGTGGAAACCTTCCCCTAGCAGATGCGTTTTAAAGCCTTGAGGGGAAGCCCGAAAAGAAAAGTCCAAAGAGGACAATATCGGTTAACAGTAGTCTCGAATTATTACACAAACGCTCTACTTTACGTGTTATGCAGTGTGGACCGAGTTAGAGAAGGAAAACAAGGAATTCTTCGAGGCGTATGCAAAAACTCAAAGCAATAAGGATAGCATGTCGGAAGAAGAGACGAACCAAATGATCCAAAGGATGATCTTGGATTCCTCTAAAGGGGACCCTAAAAACTAAGCCTAACAATCCAACAAAATCCACATAGAGAATATGTTTGAGGTCCCCATTCAACAATATCATACGGAAATGAGCACGGAGGATTTCATTTGGCCCCTTTGTTGGTGTAAATTGTTGTGTTTTTTTTCTTAACCAATCATCTTTTGCCATGTCAGCATATGTTTACGTGAAGATATTACGTGGAACATACCCATTGGATGATGGATGTTGCTTATCTCCACGTTCTATGCATAGTTCTTTCTTGTCTTCTTATTATTGTAATCAAAGCAATAAAGAAAGCACATATTGATGTGGGGGACTACATGGAAGTTGGCCTTTTCTTGGTCTAAGTCTTCACCTTTTTCTATGCAAAAGGCGATGTTTATGGCTTTCTTTTCATCACGGGTTCATAATCTATACACCCATTTACGTATCTCATTTGAATTTTCCTTTCTAGTGTTTCAAAAGTTGTAATATTATCTCTAACCTTTTATAAACGTGCCAAAATTATTCCTTAAAATTGAAAAATGCTTATAACGTTGGACGAAGAATAGATATGTTTAAATGACGTTCTTTTAAACTTAACTCAGACATCATAGTTATTAGATTGTTCCAATTATGCCACTCATTAGAATAAAAATAGTTTTTAAAAGATCATTTAAAAAATAAGGGTAATATTGTAATTTTAACCCTAAACCCTAATGGGAGGTTAATTTTAACTATGGTTAAATCCACAAGACTTTTCGTTTATTTATTTATTTTATTTTAAAAATCAATCTTTTAATCCCTTGAAATTTAATCAATTACGCTAATGCTTTAATTAATGATTAAATATGTACGTTAATTTTATAATAAATATGTATTACAACTAAATAACTTGCTATTTTATATAATAATGTTGATTTAATATATAATTTTTATACCGTTTAATTTTTAATATTCAATCTACAATATTATCTTTATTTATAAAAATTACGAAAATATATCTTAGTGTATTATTTTCAGAAGGGCTGTTGCATGTGGATAGAATTATTTAAAAATAATAATACAATAATAAATAAATAAATAGAAATTTCATACTATGTTCAATGAAAATTATTTATTCCATGATATTATATATATTCATAAAAACTATTGGGCTCTTAAAAAAAAATACGTTCCCGTATTTCGTTCTATCGTATACATTACAATTAAATTTTTTATTTTTCTATTTTAATTATCATAATACATATTGAAATACGTCTTATATAATTGCGTGCTTAAATAAAATAATAAATAACGTAAGAATATTATAATGAATAAGACAAGATAAGGAGTGTATTAGGTGCTGTCTTAATAATTAAAAGGAATAAATTATTTATACAAATAAAATAAAACATAAAAGAAAGGCTGCCCTAATTTAGGTCAAAATTTATTCATGATGAGGCATATCAATTCCAATTATTAATTATGGGGATAATTTCTAGTGAGTGAGTGCGCGTGCAAATTGAGGAGTGAGTGCGCGTGCGAAAATTGAGGAGTGGAAATATCAAAACTAAAAATTTGATTTTTTCACGTATTTTTATGAAATGAATTGTGGGCGACTATGGTGCAGTTGCAGACAAGGTTACTGCCTTATGTTGGCGCGTAATTTTCTGAATACGACAATGGGGAAAAGGGTAAGAAGATACCCAAATCATATGCATCAAATCTCCTAGACTTTCATTTTCTCAGCCATTTTCTCGCCCGACGCGCCTCTTTCGTTCCCTTTGCTACCAGTATCGTGTAGCGATGGGAAAGATCGATTACCCATCTTCCAGATTTGTGCTCCCCGACATCTATCTGTGTTTGACCTGGAATTGTTTGGATTCGATTGCGTTTTGCTTTGCCACTTGGTCGGTGTGTCCGGTTTTTGTTCTTATCAGCTAAGTTTGGAAGTGGGTTCGAGTTGATCTAGTGGTGGCTCTTATGAGAGGGGGATTTCGGATGATCTGGAGGTTTCTTTAGCTGTTTCGAATTAGCGTTTTTCTGCAAAAGGTTCTGAAAAAAGGTTGAGTTTCTTCTTTAGATCTTTGTGTTTGATTTCTGGATTTGTTTTCTCTGTTTTTTGGTACTATTTATACCATATTCAATGATTAAGCTTCTGGGTTTGTGCTGTTTTTTGTGTTTATTAATCGAGTGGGCTGTGGTTCTTATGGCGTTTCAATGATTTTGTTCTGTTGTTGTCTCTTGGAATTTGTGGGTTAACGTAAGACTGTTTTGAGAGCTTATACTCAAAGTGGACAATATCGTACAATTGTAGAGAGTAGTGATGTCTAGTATGGTGTTAGAGTTATGCCTTTAACTTAATTATGTCAATAGAATTCTCAAATGTCGAACAAATGGTGTACTTTGTTTGAGAACTTTAGAGAAGGAGTCGAACCTCGATTAAGGGGAGGCTGTTCGAGGGTTCCATAAGCCTCAGAAGAGGCTCTATAGTGTACTTTGTTCGAGAGGAGGATTGTTGGGAGGGAGTCCAAAACAAAGCCACGAGAGCTTATACTCGAAGTAGACAATATCATACCATTGTGGAGGGTCATGATTCCTAACATACGTATATTGATGCCTTCAACTATGAATTAGAAGTTCGTTGAGAAACCGTCCTTGATACCGTTTTTCTTTCTTATATTTTCCATGAAACACTTCTAAAGCTCATTAAACTGTCTTGTTACCTTATTCAGGAAGCAAGGAGGGAAGACAAAAGTAAGCTTTTGTAATTGACACGTTTATATACTTCACTTGAGGTCAGGGCTTGTCTACCTTAAAGTTTGGTCGGTAGAGTTTCTCCAAGATGGAGTCTACACAGTGTTCAGCTAGTGTTCTTGAAGCATTGATGGGCTTTGATGAGCTGCAATCCGAGCACCGTGCTTCGGGGCGTTCTCGAGGTCTTTCCGAGCGTTATTTACAAAGGGTTGCTTCCATTGGAGGAACCCAAAAGAAGAAATCCCCCTCTAGATGTCAGCCATTTAGGATGACCATAGAAGAGCCACCAGAAGTCTTTTCGATACGCAACGTTTTATGGGAACGGGAGCACTTTTCGATACGCAATTTCATGAACGAAAAGCACTTTTCAACAGATGAGATTATACCGACGTCAAAGGATTTTCATGACTTACCGGAGGCTGTAGATTCTATGGACATCTCACCAAGACATACTAGAACAAAAGATAATACGTTCAACCATGTCGAAAATGGACCGAACCTGTCAAAGCCACTTAACAATGCACATAGAAAAGATGAATACAAGCGTTCCTGCTTCATTTCGGTTGAGTCGTACAAGGGCGGAGAATCCAGGGAGAAAGTAATAGAAGAACAAAGGAAGAATGGAAATTTGATGCTAGCTAAACAAGGTAGGAACATGAATGAAATGTTTATACTCCCTCATTATGCAACTTTTCCCAGTGATTTGAATTGCAAGCCAGTCGAGTACGATTTCCCGAAGCGTATTTGTTTGAATAAGGATCATTTGCATTCTGGCAGTCCGTTGTGCTTGAGCTGCAAGGATAGAAGATTCGATCGACTCAGTAAAAAACCCCACAGATCGAGACTCGATTCTGCTTATACAGTGATTGCAAGATCTAGAATCAGGAGCAGGTACGAGGCGCTTCGAAATACATGGTTCTTAAAGCCTGAAGGTCTCGGTACTTGGCTTCAATACAAGCCGTTGAATACGAGATCCAATAAAAAGAATGCTTCCGAACCCTCTTCGAAATTAAGCTCTAAAAAGTTGAGGATTTTTCCTTGCCCTGATTCAGTGAGCGATCATGTCGACAACGATGGCTGTATCGTTGGTAATGATCTGAAGACCCGAGTTGAGAAAAATGGCCTTTGTGATCAGCATTCTGTAAACTTGCTATCATCAAACAGCAATCTGGCCATAGAGCAACCTTCATTGTCCAGCATTGTTCCGGAGACTGACGGTCATTCATCTACCATCTCGTGCCGTGCGACGTGTACCTCTATCCAACAGGTTCCATATTGCCTTCATTAGAACTTTGCACGAAGTAGAATGTACCAATGTTACTTTTGGCTAGTTGGGGGCGGTTTTTTACTAAATTATGCGACGCACGGTTAGGCTGAACGATACTAGCCTTCATTCCAAGTGAATGGAGGACGGTTAACTTTGACCGAACTAGTTAACTTTTTCGTTTAAAAAGTTCACTTTCAATGAATTGCAGGATGGTCTTTCGTTCGATCGTTACGATAGCAAAGAGCTAGATTCTATTGTGAGGTTGGAGGAGTTTTATCAACCTAGCCCAGTTTCGGTCCTTGAACGACATTTTAAAGAAGAAACATTTTCGAGTTTCGAGTCCTCGGGCATTAACAGTAGAGGTGAGCTATCTTATGACTATATTATGATTTCAAGTTCTAAAAGCTCTCTCCTTCCTCATCTAACTTATTGTGGCTGTAGAACTTGAACTTCTGATGTGGGACTCCCCGGGAACTAACTCAGACGAACATGAATTGTTCGTATCGAGTGAGGAGGATGGTGGAGAAGGATCGATATGCAATTCTGATGAAATTTATGATATAATGAGCACGTTCAAGTTCAAAGATAGTCGGGATTTTTCATACCTAGTCGATGTCATAAGCGAGGCAGGCTTGCATCATAGGAACCTAGAGAAGGGTTGTGTTTTGTGGCATGATCAGGAACGTTATGTCATTAGCCCCTCGGTCTTCGAGGCGTTAGAGAAGAAGTTCGGGGAACAAGTTTCTTGGAGGAGATCAGAAAGAAAGCTTCTCTTTGACCGAATAAATTCCGGGTTAGCTGAACTCTTTCAGTCGTTTGTTGGTGTGCCCGAATGGGCAAAGCCTGTATCGAGAAGGTTTCGGCCATTGCTCGACCAGGAAATGGTCGAGGACAAACTATGGACCCTTCTCGATAGCCAAGAAAAGGAAGGGAACAAAGATTTAGTCGATAAACAGTTCGGGAAGGAGATCGGGTGGATAGATCTCGAAGATGAGATTGGTTCTATTTGTAGGGAACTAGAGGGATTGCTGATCGTTGAGCTTGTTGCAGAGGTTGGTAGCAGCATCATATGATTTTGAATGGTATGATATATAGTTTTCATAGACGAACATTATAGCATACAAAAACAGAGAATTGTTTCTTTTCTTTTCCTTTTTTAAAGAAAAGGTGAGTCATATATTTGTGTATAGGAAACAGTTTTGATCTTGTTTCAAGTGTTTGATGAGGATGTATTCTTTGATTCATGAGTGGAACCAGGGTTCATTGTTGTTAAGTGTGACAGATTGATATCATTTTTATACATCAAAGCCTTTTGTGATGCCAACTGTGGCGGATTGAGTTATATGTTTGTGTGTATGTAACGACACAAGCCCATCGTTAGAAGATATTGTCCTCTTTGGGTGGACCTTTTGAGCTTTCCCTTAAGGTTTTTAAAACGCGTCTGCTAGAG